GAGGTCGCAGATAGCCTCGATCTTTGAGGCACTAAGAGATTTCTCCCCAAGGACCGGAGCACGCGGGGGGGATTGTACAGGAGGAGGCGGTCTCTGATATAGCTTGGACCCAAGCCATTTAGGGCTTTAAAATATAATCTGGCGAGTCTCCTCCAGCAGGTCATTCCAAATTTTAGGAGCAGCAGCTGAAAAGGTCCTCTGGGAAGTCACCACCAGTCTAGTTTTCATTGACTGTAGTAAGTTCCTCCCAGAGGACCTGAGTATGTGGGAAGGATTATACAGGAGGAGGCATTCCTTCAAGTAAGCTGGACCCAAGCCCTTCATGGCATTAATAACCAACACCTTGTACTGTGCCCAGAAGTTAACAGGTAGCCAATGTAAGGATTTCAAAATAGGTGTTATCCGGTTGAACCTAGATTTACCTGCGACCAGTCTGGCTGCGATGTTTTGTACCAGTTGAAGCTTCTGAACATGCACAAGGGTTCCCCCATGTAAAGTGCATTTCAGAAGTTGAGAAGAGAAGTTACCAGTGCACGTGCAATCGTTTCTAGGTCCCATGGCTCCAGGTAAGGTCACAGCTGGCATATCAGCCAAAGCTGATAACAGACACTCTTAGCTGTCCATCAATCTGAGGTGACAGTTGGAGCGATGAGTCCAAGAGCACCCCTAAACTGCGAACACAGTGCTTTAGGGGAAGTGTGACCCTATCCAGAAATGGTAAACTTATCTCCATACCCAGATTAGAGTTACCTATCACGAGTACCTCTGTTTTGTTTGGATTCAGCTTAATTCTATTTTCTCTCATCCAATCCACTACTGACCTCAGGCAGTCATTCAGACGGGAGATGCCCTCCTTGGTCACTGAAACAGTCTGAGACATAGAGAAGTAAATTTGGGTATCATCAGTGCACTGATAACACCCTGCCCCATGTCTCTGGATGATCTCACCCTGTGGCTTCATGTAAATGTTAAACAACATGGGGGAGAGAATGGCACCTTGAGGAATGCCAATGTCAGCTCTTTTTTAGAAATGAGAAAAATGCCAGTTGCTAGCAGATTATTGCATACTTTTTAGCAAAATATGAAAAAGTTAATTTTTTTTTATTTTACAGATTTTCCCAGTAAGCATGGGATAAAATATAGCTTACCTAAGAAGTGGCTACCGTATTTTTCCAGCATATAAGACGACTGGGCATATAAGATGACCTCCAACTTTTCCAGTTAAAATATAGAGTTTGGGATATACTTGCTGTATAAGACTACCCCTCTTCAAACTCACACCAAATAAAAATTTAAAAAAACATCAGATTTGATTTCAATATGGTAATTTTAATTCAAGTGCTTATAACATGGAGGTACTTAGCAGGAAAACTGTCACTAATAAACACAACAAACTACAGCTCCAATGTTCCCTAGCATTTATTTCTGCAGTGTGTTTTGGACCTTATTTTTTTAAAAATAGTCCAGATTTAAATGCTGCTTTAAAAATTATTTCCATCTCCCAGCTATGAGACTGTTGGGGGGAAATGAGAAAGTGTTGGGGGGAAGGATTGCCAATATACTAGGTCTGTACAATTTGCAGCCAATTAAGTGACCCTGAGCATGTCACACACTTTCAGCCTCAGAGGATGGTAATGGCAACCCGCATTTGAAGAAACATGCCAAGAAAACCCCATGATAAGGTTGCCTTATGATAAGTCAGAAAGGACTTGAAGACACACAAGAACAACAAAAAATCTGTAATTGTTTCATAGGTAGTACATGGGAATAGGAGCCAGCATGGTGTAATGGTTTGAGTGTTGACCTGGGTTTGATTCCTCACTCTGCCGTAGAACCCACTGGGTGAACTTGGACAAGTCACACACTCTCAGCCTCAGGGGAAGGCAATGGCAAACCTCCTCTGAATCAGTCTTGCCAAGAAAACCCCAGGAGAGGATTACCTTAGGGTTTCTCTCATCCTCCTCCTCTCTGTCCACCTCTGTCCTCCTCCTCCTCCCCCACTCCTTATACCCAGTGTATAAGATGACCCCCAGATTTTCCTGGGTAAAAAGTCATCTTATACACCAGAAAATATGGTAGTAGCCTCATCCATGTAGTACATAAGAATGCCAAAGCTCTTCTGGTTCATGTGTGGATGAATAGATATGAAAACTTGTGCCTGTATTCTCCAAAAACTGTCTTTTCAAGCTGAAATATGCAGGCTCTTGTTCCACTTATGCTCTTTTAATTTAGCCCATTTCTAAAGTAGATCATTTTATCTGCTGGATTGTTCAAGATAGGAAGCAGCTGTAACCTGTAAGCATCTCAAGTAAGTCAAGATCTACACTGCATAGTAAGCTAGTTTTCCTAGTTTGCAACCAGAGAGCGCAAGAGAGATTCATGCATACTGAAGACTACCAGCTAAGAGAAGCTTGCTGTGAAACAAAAGCAAAGACATGAGAAATTCATGTTTCAACTCTAGTTAGCAGCTTCAATGTGAGACAAAATATAAATGTATGTTGAAAAAAGAGTTATAGCTAGAGTGGGATTATTGGGTTCTTCTTTCCTGCCACCCCTTTAAGCAGTGAAATGCACATGAAGGAATGAGGAGGGGAAGTTTTTAAATTTGTGACATGACAGATTCCATTTATACAACTAGATTTGTTTTAGTGTAGGAAATTTCAGGTTTAAAAGAAATTATTAGCCTTCCAAAGCCAGATATTCCACCCACCCCAAGCATTTCCTTAATGCTTAAGTATAAAAAGGAAGGAGGACAAAGAAAAAGGGAAATCTAGCAGCACCTGTAAGACTAACTAATTTTTAGTTTAGCAAGAGCTTTCATGGATATCCTTTTTATGCTACAGCAGGCTAACATGGCTGCTTCTTTTAAAACATATGCTTAAGAGATCTGGATAATACACCTTCCTTTAATAGCTATGTCTGGGATCCTGTCAGGATATTTAAGTAAAACAAGATTGGCTAGGTAGATTCAAGTATAGTTAAATTACTCCAAGCTGTTCAAAGGAAACTCCCAGAAGAAGTGAGTTGATGGTTTTCTCTCTTTCAAAATAATAATAATAATAATAATAATAATAATAATAATAATAATAATAAATTTTGTGCTTATCATTCTTGCTGTAGATAACTTAAAGTCATCTTTGTAAGATCCTTGTCATAGGCACCATGAAAGGAAGCACAGCAGGGTGCTAAAGAGAGAAGCATTACACTGATCTGAAAACTTCATTTCAGATACCCAGGACAATCAAATTATACTAATTTTGTGAATGTCTAAATCACACCTGTGCTGGTGCCCTCTAGATATCTAGATAACCCCTGACCATGGGCCATGCTGACTGGGGATGATCATCAATACCTTCCCTATTTTTCCAGGGCTTGAAGTTGTTTTGTTTTTTACTCTGGAGGCAAAGAGAAGAACGCCTATGCAGTATAGGGGAACCACACACACTTCCCAGTTTGCAGTGAGAGTTATGAGTACAGTGGGACCTCCGTATCCACTGGAGTTAGGTGTGTATGATTCCCATGAAAGTGGAAAAATCACAAATTAAAAAAATGTTAGATTTTTTAAGCCTGAGAGAACAGCTCTCAAGGAATTTCAATAGCAAGAACAATAGCAGCTTCATTTATATACTGCCCATACTGCACTAAGCTATCTCCAAGAAGTTTACAACTGTAAGTTAATTGCCCCCAACAAGCTGGGTATTCATTTTAGCAACTGCAGAAGGATGCCAGGCTGAGGCAACCCTGAGTCCCTGGCTGGGACTGAACTCACAACCTTGTGGTTTGTGAATGAGTGGATGCATTACCAGCATTTAACCCAGGGACAGGCAACCTTTTCCAGACCTGGGCCGGTCTGCCGTCGCCCGGGTCTTGGCTGGGCTGAGGGGGGAGAAATGGTTGCCGGTCCCTGATTTAACCACTGCACCATCAGGGCTCTGTGTCCACCATCACCAGTTTGTGGTCACCATCTGCCAGAAATTGACTACAGAATTGGGCTGCAGGACCCAGAAACGTCTAGACCAGGGGTAGGCAACCTTTCCCCTTTAAGGGCTGAGGGAC